CCTCAACCAAGAAGTGGGTATCATGGAATTCAATACCAAGATCATGTAGTGATTGAAATTGGTTCTCATTCACAACCACAAAGAACCATTAATAGTGTTACTAAAGTGGATTCAACCCAAACAATTATGGCCAGTTCACAACCACACCCTGTCATTGATAAGGTATGGCCTTCAAGAGGAACAAGGCATAGTGCTTCTCAAGTAGTTTCACCTCAAGAGGGTGGTGCCGGTGGTGCCCCTCCAGAAAACATTTATGGTACCAAAGAATGCTTTATAGGTTGTATAGAGGCTCTTCAGAAGGAGAATAGGAGCGTTATCAGAGCAATTTCCATGCATGTAGACAAATACGTTAAAGCTAGTGTTCATAGTGAGGAGAAGATTTCAGTGCCAGAATTGCATGGCGACGACAACATGGTGGTGGATTCATTGTCGTCAGGAATGATCGCCAAGCTTCGTCAAAGTATACAGAAGATGGTGTCAGATGGATTTGAGGAGGAATGCTTGAACGTGTACAGTAATTGGCGGAGGGAGTTTCTCAAAGAGAGTCTCCGGGTATTAGGGTTGCAGAATCAAGAGCTCAACGGGGAGGACATTAACAAGTCGGAGAAGGATGAGAGGCTGATAACAGCTATGAACATAGCTACGAGGATACTCTTTCCCAATGAAAAAGGATTCTTCAATCGTGTCTTTAGCGGCTCCATTCGCAATGGGGAGTTTCATTTCAGGGAACTTTGCACGGAATTGGCTACTGGTCTGCTGAACTCTGCCCTTGCCTTGGCAACATGGAGTCTTTTCATGCGCAACACATTGCAGGAGTTGATACATGAGTTTGAATCATTTACAATACTAAGAAATATTGTAGTGGTCCTGATAAGACAGAGATTGTGCATTTATGAGGCTTTGGAAGATGTATCACTCATTCCGGGTGGCGGGATTCATCCCCTTACCCTTGAAGGGATGTGCTTTATTTATTTGGTTTACAGAAATAGGGAAATTAGGAAACTTAGGCGAGATTTAAAGGAGGGAAAGATTCCAGCATCTGTGTACATAGACAAAGTGAGAATTCGTTTAAAGTGTAGTTTGGACCATAAGTCCAAAAATGGTAATAAGTTTCATGTGATGAACTACAATGAATCTCCACACCAAAGTTTCCTTGGCACATTTGAGGAATTTGTTGGGGAGCATGTTTATAAATACATTAAGTATGGAAAGTCTGAGGCACATGATCGACTCAGCAAATTGTTTCTTTTAATGGAGTAGATGAATTTGTTGCTGGAAGGGAGGGAACGGTTAAGGAGTTTAGCTTTAGAGAACAATAATTTTATTATCTCAGTTCCAAAGGATTTGTGCTCTGTATATACCACTGAATGTTTGAACACAATTACAAATGTGTTTCCTTTTTTAGTTTGTTTCCATTTTTTAGATTGGCTTGGTTCAAATTGAAGTTTGGATACATTTTCATAATTGTATGCCTGAAGAGAGGGAAAAAATTCCTAAGTTTGGGAAGATTTAGTATACAGGCTTAACATATCTATGGATACTTCCCGGATTTATGCCAACTGTCAGCTTCTTTTTTAAATACTTACCTACATTATTACTAGTTTTTGGTATATAATCATGAAAGTTAGGAAGAGTTTTAGAAGTTTGACATTCATAAATGTCTATGGTTTATCAAATTCAAGGTCTTGAAACACATGCTGCACATATACTAAGTCCTTTAGGAAGCATTCATCTCACTTTGGGAAACCATGTTACTACTGTGGAGACAAAAAAAAAATGAAGTGCCACAATATTACACGAGTAATCCGATCCCCTTTAAAAACCAATAACAATTTAAAATTTTTATTTTGAAAAAAGAAAAAAAAATGGCATCTCTATCCATAATTGAGAAAATCACAGTTAGCATGTTTGATCATGTATCTGTCAGAATAGTTTTGCATGATAATTGGACAATAACCAAGATGACAAGTGAATTGGTTTCTTGTGCTTTAAAATTATTTTACTTCTCTCTTAATAAATAATAACACAACAATAAAAGTGTAGGGAAAAAGAGATTTGCACAGGTAATTTTTATACTGGTCCGGATTTTACCAATCCTACATCGAGTTGCTTATCTAAAAATAAGATAATCCACTAATCACAAAACCAATACAAACTACAATCACACAGATACAATTTGTAAGGGTTTAGAATACACCTCTCTTAAAGCCACAAGAGATGAAACACACCTTCCTCGAACACACCAAGGGATGAACACTTCCCCCGAATGCTTCATGAAGGATGACCACCTCCTTTGAATCTTCACAAAGGATGATTGCTTTCTCAGAACACCTCCTTAGACACACCAAGGATGAACCGACTATTTCCTCTGTCACCGTAGTAGCACTTCACCAACTCCACATACAAGAGTTTCTCAAGCCTTAACAAGAATACTAAAATCTCAAGTGTTTACAACAATTATGAGCTCAAAAGAATGCGACTTGAGTAAGTAATGAGAGTCTATTTACAGACTCAAGCCAAGACACTTCCATTCACTAAAAGACAAACTTAACGGCTAGTTTGTCCAACGGCTATAAATGGCTAGTTTGTCCAACGACTATAAACGGTTAGTTAACTAAAATCTAAAATATGCAATAAGGTGTAGGAGTGCTCACAAAATTAAACTGAGCAAATTAAACACTAATTTTCTATCTCAAACATATGATTAAAATGTAAAATAGAGAGCAGTAGTTAAAACGGAGAAATATCTCACCAGAAATAGTGGTACAAAATAATAGTAGAATAAGCAAGTTCAATGTAAGTGAGAAAACAAAAATAAAACAATATATGTCATAAGTAAGCAAAAAAGAAGAAGAAAAATTCATGGGTAGCACGTTTGTGGGAAAATTGTTTGTAGTAAGAATGTTGGTGTGAGAGAAAATCTAGATGGAGAGTAAGTGAGAAAATCGTGAAAGGAGTAAGAATGATGAAAAACTTGATCGAAAGCAAAAGATTATAACCTAGTATATATTCATGATAAAATTGTAAATTTAATAAGGTAATAGATACTCATGGATAAAATTATACTCGTCTCAATCTATCGATACCTATAAGCATGAAGATATTTGACATCCTACTTATTTATATATATATATATTAGCCTATCCTTAAATTTTCTACTTTAAAATATAAAAATAACAAAACTTATTTTTTTAATAGTGTTAACAACATTAGGAAAAAGTATAAGTGTGTTATGTATAAAAAAATAATAAAGAAAAGTTTTTATATGGTCAAAAAGAGAGATGTTCTATCGAACTGATTCGCAAAGTTTTCGAGTAAATCTATTTTATAAAATAATAATTGTAATAAAAAATATGAAAAAAATTATTTTATTTCAATATGTACGCATTGTTGTTTATTTGTCAAATTACGTTTCTAAATTTAAAATTATTTTTACTAATATATCTTAAGTTTTAAAAATACATATTTTATTTTTAATTTTTTTGTTTAAAATTATTTTTGTTAATATATCTTAAGTTTTAAAAGATACATATTTTATTTTTAATTTTTATTTAAAATTATTGTTATCAATATATCTTAAGTTTTAAAAAATAAGTATTTTATTTTAATTTTTGAAGTTGGCTAAATTGGGAACGAACCAAAACAAATTAAATTCTTGTCGTTTTGATCCGGTCGAAAGAAAGAAATTGAAAATAATTGTTCATTAGAATGATATTATTTTTAATAAAGTATTTTTGCATTAAAGAAGACGTAATAATCTACATCTATAATTTGTTAAATAAATATATAAGAAATAATTTTTGAAAAAAATAATATAATTTTGCTTTTACTTGAGTGTGATTCTTGAGGTATGTTATCCGTGTTTGAATAATTAATATTGACTGATTTTCGTGTAAAAGAAAAGTGGAAACTGGAATCATTTTTAATTATTTTTCATAATTCGTTGGACCTTAAGCTGTTAAGCTATCACAATTATTATGCCATTTTAGTGATTTTAGTTTTAATTATTCTAAGTAAATATACACTAGTAACTAGTACACAAAAGACATATTATAGTAGATAAAATAGATTTTTTGTAATAGATATTTTGGTTCGGATAGTTATAGAAAAATTGATGTAACTGAAAAATGTGCAGTCTACGATAGTATGAAAACGTTCTGAACTATTATGCAGAATCAGTTCTGAATGAAATATGTAAGTATCAAATTCATTTTTTACTATTAGAAAGTTGTACTTGTAAAGGGATTTTCGCTGTTAATATATCAGTAACCCTTAACGATATCAGTGATCAGTCTCAGGTAGGGACAAGATTTGAACAATGAAGAATTTGTCTTCTCATCCGTTGAAAGTGATAACTGAACTCCAAGTAGACATTGAAAGTGGTTCAAATTTACAAGGAATCAGTTATAACACTTGTAGTCACAGCAGCCATAGAAGGATTGACAAGAAAATACTAATGCAGTATACTATCATTCTCACTTGCTATTTATCCAGCATGCGTCAACCAAACCAAACGTCAAACATTATTTTTTTTCAAAATTGGACACGAGTGAAGTAGATGCACTGTCGATGTGGGACACGGCTTGCTTTATGGTTGACCAAGACTTGGTAAAAGCACATTCCCTTTGCTTGATGATATTTCAATCAAAATGTGAAATCCCAATTCAAAACTGGTGGTTCTCAGTTTCTTTCTTTCCACCTACGAAAACCTTGGATGGTCCAGGAAGAACACGGTGCTCATGCTTATCAGAATTCAGGGATGGCTGCAACAGCCAAAGGTACGGAAACTCGCATGTTTTTTTTCATGTATTGTTGGACTTCTCTGTTACGCTCTCAGCTCCTCTTTCAGTCAACTATTCGGAAAGTGGAAATGGTGGAAAATATTACTCTATCTTGTTTTTACTCTTTCCATCATCTTCTTTCTATCTAAGTCCACCAGCACAAGGGATCGCCCTACCTCTTCCTCGTTGAAAGCTAATTCAGCTTTTTTGGTTTTGATCATGACTTCTGTGTACTCCTATTTCGTTGATACAAAAGTGAAAGGAAAACCGGATGTGTATAGCGTAGTTTCGAATGCTGCATTTGCTATTATGTCTTTGGGTTTATCAACTTTTAGTCCCTTTGGATTCGAGGTTGATCTCCTGTATTTTTTCTGTGGAGTTCTAATAGTGCAGCTCATGAAAATTAAACTATGGTTGATCATTGTTGGAGGGTGTTTCAGTTATTCCCTCAACATTATTCATTCCACTTTAGATACTCAACGCTCATATGATCTTCTAGGCATTACCATTGATCCACAATCACAATCACAAGTAAGCACTGGTAGTGTTTCTCCACCTGATTCACCCCGTGTTCATGTTCCTGTTCCTCCCCAAGCTGATCCTATCCCCCTTGGTTCACCATTACAACGAGGCAATAGTCGTAGAGTTCTTGCCAGAAGGGACTTTATGAGTTATATAGAAGAGCTTGAAAAGGAGAATGAAAAGGTTATCAACACAATTTTGAAGCTTGTGGGTGGATACCTTAAGGCTAATGTTGTGAATGAAGATCAGATTGCAGTGCCGGAAATACAAGCTGACGACAACTTGGTGAAAGACATGTTACCGTCTGACCTCATCGACAAACTTCGTTACACCGGGAAGCTGATGTTTCAGAATGAGTGCCGCAGTTTGTACAGCAGTTGTAGGAGGTTGTTTCTAAAGGAGTGTTTATCAAAACTCGGGCTGGAAATTGAAGAGCTCAATGTGGAGGACTTTGACAAGATGGAGAAGATAGGGAGTTTGATAAAAGCTTTGAACATAACCGTGAGAATACTGTTTCCCAATGAAAGGATTCTCTGTGCTCACGTATTCCCCGAGTCTTACAATGCAGATATCTCATTTGCTGAGGTTTGCACTGAATTGAGTATCAGTCTGTTAAGATTTGTGAATACACTGGCAACTGAGAATCATCAATGGTCTTACCATCTGGTCCATGTCATTCCCAACGTGTTCAAGACTTTGATTGATCTGATTCCAATGTTCGATTCACTGTTTTATGGTCAGTTGTTTAGTGAATCACTCAGAAATGGTGCAATTCTTGTCGGGAAGAGATTGGGTGTTTTTGTTGAGTTGGAGAGTCTCATTCACCGTGAAGTGGCTAAGGAGACTGATCCCAATGGTGGGATTCATCCAACAACCCACAGAGTGATGGATTATCTGAGAGAAGTTTTCACAGATGATGAGACTTTCCCAATTAGAAGAGGAATATCTTCATTATCAGATCAGGTAGCTAGAATAATTAAAGTTTTAGACACAAATTTGGAAGCCAAGTCCAAAAGCTACACAAACCCAGCATTAGGCCATGTTTTTATGATAAATAATTTGATGTTTTTACAATTTGGGGAATATTATATATATGGAGAGATTTTAGGCCAAGGTTGGTACAAGTCAAAGATCGACGAGCACATTGAACTCTATCAAAGAAGCTCGTGGGAAAAGATATTAGAGCTTTTGAAAGTAAGCAGTAGAGAACTGCATGCAGAGTCTATGAAAAAGAAGCTGAAATTGTTCAACCAGCAGTTCAATGAGATATGCAAAGCTCAGTCTGAGTGGTTAATATTTGATGATGAGCTGAGGGAAGTTGTCGTAAAATCCGTAGAGAACACATTGTTGCCTACATATGGGACCTTTATTGGAATGATTCATGATGTTGTTGGTAAAGATGCTTATAAGTTCATTAGGTATGGAATTCAGAACATTCAAGATCGCTTGAGTCATTTGTTTTCTGTAAAAATAGCTGAGGGCTGACGAAAAGGAAAGGAAGTTTAGTGAGGATTTAGAACACAAACATTTTGTAAACTTGGGTCACTCATTCATCTTAGTTTTTAGGACCACGACATGTTACATTTTTTTTAACAACTTTTTGACAATAGACTACGTGTCATTGTTTTATTGGTCCGTATATTTGAAACAGACCAATCACAAACTACCACGTAGATGGTTGTAAAAAAGTTGTTAAAAAAACGGTTTTTTACTTTTTATTGTTAATTTGTGAGGAATGATAATAAATATAATTTTTTTACATTATTCTTTCTTATTTTTTATTCTTTTTTTAAATTATAAAAATTTACTCTTTTATGACCATTTTATTTTTATTATATGTGTCAAATAAATATAAGTCATGTTCCCATTACTCTTAATTTGTGTCACTCATTCATCTTTTTTATTGTCAATTTGTGTCATTGCTATTATGTCCATACTCGGTATTTTCACTGTAATGGTGTAATTTAACATAATAGTGCAAGTTTTAGAAAAATCGCATATGAAAAAGTCATGTGAAGAGGAAGCGATTTCACGGCTTTGTTACCAAAATAAGCAAAAATACATCATATATTACGAGAATAGGCAAATTCAATTCAAAATAAGAAAAAGGGGAAGTCGTGGGGGGCCAAAACGACTTCAAATGAAGAAGTCGTGCCCCCCTGCACGACTTCACACTGTGCATTTGACCAGTGGTGAAGTTGTGCACCCCAAAAACGACTTCTGGGTCCTGTAATCGATTACAATATACTGGTAATCGATTATAGAGTGTTAAAATCGTGACCCCCCTACACGACTTCATTGCAGTAGGCAAAAATGCTACTGGTAATCGATTACGACACTTTTGTAATCGATTACCATTGTTTTAAGTGTGCAAGAACCACTCTGGTAAGCGATTACAAGCTTCTTGTAATCGATTACAAGTGTGTTTTGGTAATCGAACGGTGTCGCGAGTTGAACCCGTACGTCAAAACTCGGGCCGAACGGGTGATAACAGTTGAAAAACTGTTATTTTTAGACTTAAATTTGACCTTAAAGACAACCTTTATGACTTATAAACTAGCTTGGAATCATGTTTTTGTTGAAGTTTGGAAATAAGAGAGTTGGACAAGTTTTATGCTTGATTTTCTTGTTTTTGCAGGTTTTAAGATGAATTGAGTGAAAGAAGTGAAGGAGCTAGGAGTTGGATTCAGAAAAGGAAGAAAAAGTGCATAAAAGGGAGAAGTCGCAAGTACCGCTCAATGTCATTTACCGCTGAGCGGCACTTTGAAGATCCGCAGACACCGCTAAGGGGCAAAACTGCAGCTGAGGGGCAAAATAGAAGTCACGCACTTACCGTTGAGTGGTATTTAGCGCTGAGTGACATTCTTATGGGCTTGGGCTTACTTTTCTATAATTTTTAGAATACTATATAAGGTTTTAGTTAACCTAGGTCAAGCATCTTTGGCTGGAACGAAGCAGAAACACATTCTTTCACCCCTTGGAGGAGGATTTTGGATGCTACAACTCCTTTCTCACCTTTCTAGGGTTTTATCTTTCCTCCTTCATTGTATTTCATCTAGTTTCACCATGAATATGGTGAACTAAACATTTATTGTTGTTGGGGAAATCAATGTAATCCTTTTGAAACTCTCATGTGTGGAATTTGTTCTTCAAAATCTTCTTTAAGATACATGCTTTCTTTCATTAATTGTTAGGGTTTTTCCTCTTTGCTCTAAGCATGCATTGTTTAACTCATTCGATGGCATGATTATTGATTTTGTCGATATGGACACATACGGGAAAATCTAGATCTGGGGAATCTCTCCTAATAGTAGTATAAACCTAAACATAGGAGTATGATGGTTGGTTGCCTTTAAGCTTCTGTTCTTTATAATGCATGAGTAATTGCTAGGGAGACAAGACATTGTAAACTAGTGATTATGATTAGGCTTTCTTCGCCGAGACATCGGGTTTAAGGTAATTTAGGGAGTGGCATTAACATTAATGAAAAGAAAGATGAATTCCTTAATACATGAGAGTGGATAGGATGAAATTGATAAACCCCAACAAAATAATCATTCATATATTTCATACCACATGTTTTGTTTCTTCTTGCCCATTGATCAATTCATGCATTCATATTTACTTTTTAGTATTTTGCATTTAAACCTACAATATTTTGGTCACAAGTCTTAGATAATCAACCAATCACATAACTGTTTAGGTCGTGAGTCCTTTGGGAGAACGATACTTGGTCTTACTAGTTTTATTACTTGATACGATTCGGTTACACTTGCCGAGGGTTTAAACAACGGGTCCAACCGAGAATGGAGGGTCAGTGCGCCGATAAGTCACCCAGGAGAGTGTAGCGGCATCGAATAACGTCGAAAACAGAGGGCGAACCATCCGCATTTTACCTTACGCTGTATATGTAAAACGTAGGGATGAGGGCAAGTGTTTCGGGTGTGGAGGGCCTTTCGGATCTGGGCATCAATGCCCAGAAAGGAGTCTGAGGATGTTGATCTTGGTAGAGGATGAAGAGGAGAACGAGGCCGTTACATAGTCGGAGATGACCCAGTTGCAGATGGAGCTCTCGACATGTTTCGCAGGGGGCCTAACGCAAGCCAAGATGATGAAGATGCAGGGAGAGATTGGGGGAAGAAAGGTGATAGTACTGATTGACAGTGGAGCGAGCCACAACTTCATTAATAGGGACCTGGTGAAGGAACTGGGGCTCATCACGACCGACACTAAGCCTTACCTGGTTAGCTTGGGAGATGGGTGGAAAAAATAGACCCGGGGGTGCTGCAAAGGGGTGCGGATTCGCATAGGGGACGTGGAGGTTACAACGAGAGTACACTTGTTTGAATTAGGAGGTGTGGATGTGATCATGGGGGTTGAATGGTTGGCTACCCTTGGAAAGGTGACGTTGGATTGGAGCCACCTGACGATGACTTTCAACCAGGATGGTAAGGAGGTGACAATCAAGGGGGATCTGAAATTGGCCAGAAGCTTGGCAACTCTGGAGGCATTATTGAAAATAAAGGAGGCGGAGGCTTGGATGCTAGTCTGGGAATTGGGGGAGATTCAGAAATGTGGAGACAGAGCACATGAGGATGGAATAAACGAGGATCAAAGAAAGGAAATGGAAGAGATGTTGAATAAGTATGCAGGGGTGTTTCAGGAACCTACTGGGTTGCCTCCCGAAAGACTTATGGCACATCAAATACCTTTGAAGGAGGGAGTAGATCCGATAAATGTAAGGCCTTATAGATACCCGCATGTGCTGAAGAATGAAATAGAGAATGAAATAGAGAAGCAGGTAGCAGATATGTTACAAACAAGGGTGATACGGCCAAGCACCAGCCCATACTCCAGCCCTGTTATATTGGTGAAAAAGAAGGATGACTCTTGGAGATTTTGTGTTGATTACAGAGCCTTGAATCTTGCTACAATTCCAAACAAGTTTCCAATCCCAGTCATAGAGGAACTGTTGGATGAGTTAATGGGAGCGAAGTACTTCTCCAAGTTTGACCTTAAAGCTAGATATCATCAGATACGTATGGGGGAGAAGGACATACAAAAGACCGCTTTCTGAACACATTTGGGGCACTATGAATTCATGGTAATGCCATTTGGCTTGACCAATGCCCCAGCAACCTTTCAAAGCGCGATGAATGATCTGCTACGACCTTACATAAGGCGGTTTGTGCTAGTTTTCTTTGACGATATTCTAGTATACAGCCAGACGTGGGCGGATCATATGCAACACATTGAGATGGTGTTGAGTAGATTGTAGGAGAATAGGTGGGTCGCTAACCAGAAAAAAAGCGAATTTGGGTGTGTTCAAATAGGATATCTAGGCCACTTGATATCGGAAAAGGGGGTAGAGATGGATCTGGGAAAAGTAAAGGCCGTAGTGGATTGGGGACGACCAAGGAGTGTGAAAGTGTTGAGGGGATTTCTTGGGTTGAGGGGTCTTACCAACGCTTCGTCAAAGATTATGGAAAAATTGTTAGACCGCTAACCGAGTTGCTAACGAAGGGGGAGTATAGATGGAATGAAAAGGCGGAAGAAGCTATGGATCGATTGAAGAAAGCTGTGACTTCAGCTCCCGTATTGGTGCTACCAGATTTTGAAAAGCAATTCCACATAGAATGTGATGCTTCGGGAGGGGGCGTCGGGGCTGTGTTAACGCAAGACAGGAGGCCTATCGCATACTTCAGTAAAGCCCTATCCGAGGGGTCGTTAAGCAAATCGATCTACGAAAAAGAGCTAATGGCTTTGGTTATGGCCATCCAACATCGGCGCCCTTACTTGCTAGGCGAGCGGTTTATAGTTTACACAGACCAAAAGAGTCGGAGGTACTTGTTGGAACAACGAATTACAACCCAAAATCAACAGAATTGGCTTGCCAAATTGCTTGGATATGACTTCGAAATAGTTTACAAGGCCGGGAACACAAATAGAGTGGCGGATGCCTTATCCAGGAGAATAGAGGAGCCGGGGGAAGGAAATTGAGGGTAGTGTCTAGACCCTATTGGTAGCAGTGTGAAAAGGTGATAAAGGAGGTAGAAGAGGATGTGCACTTAAGGAAGATAATGGAGGAGATTAAGGAGAACCCAAATTCACACCCACCCTTCATTATGGAAAATTAAAGGCTGCATTACAAGGGAAGATTGGTGTTATCGGTTCAATATGACACAAACTGGGGGACATTCTGGCGTGTATAGGACTTATAGGAGGGTGGCTCAATCTCTTTACAGGGTGGGAATGAAAAAAATAGTGACTGATTATGTGGCGGGCTATTTGATTTGTCAGCAACATAAGTACCTTGCTTCATCCCCCCAAGGGCTCCTACAACCCCTACCTATTCTAAATGCTATATGGGAAGAAGTCAGCATGGATTTCATAGTTAAGCTGCCAAAGTCGAATGGGTTTGATGCAGTGTTAGTGGTGGTGGATCGCCTCAGCAAATATGGTCATTTCGTGCCTTTAAAGCATCTGTATTCGGCTCGCACGATCGCCGAAGTGTTCGTTAAAGAGGTAGTAAGATTACATGGTGTACCGGCTTCGATTGTGAGTGACCGGGATCCTCTCTTTTTGAGTATTTTTTGGAAGGAATTGTTTAAGAAGCAAGGCACTCAGCTGTAGATGAGTAACTCTTACCACCCAGAATCAGATGGCCAGATGGAGGTGTTGAATCGGGTATTGGAGGGGTACTTACGGTGCTTTTGTTCGGAGCAACCCAAGGGATGAAGTTATGTTTTGCCTTGGGCAGAATATTGGTACAATACCAGTTTTCAAGGGGCTGCAAAGTGTACACCCTTCGAGGTAGTCTATGGGAGATCACCTCCCTCATTGCACATGTTTATTCCGGGTGAAACAGCAGTGGAGACCGTAGTCCAGGAATTGCAGACACGCGATGAGGCCTTAAAACAGTTGAAATTCCACTTTATGTGAGCACAAGAACTAATGGTGCAGCAAGCTAATAAAAAACGGAGGGTGGCAGATATTAAGGTGGGAGACTAGGTGTATCTAAAAATTCGACCTCATCGACAAACATCCATGCTGTCGAGACTGCACCCAAAATTGGCGGCGAGATACTATGGACCTTTCCTAGTAGAGTTGAGAGTGAGAGAAGTAGCTTACAGGCTTCAGCTACCCGACACAGCTCGCATTGATCCCGTTTTCCACGCCTCATAGTTGAAGAATGCGGTAGGGGATAATAGTGTGGAAAAGGAGTTGTTCGAGGATTTAACGGGGAAGGACCGTCTTATTGGCCTATTAGAGTGTTAGAGAGGAGGCACAACAGACAAGGAAACGAGGAAGTCCCACAAGTATTGATTGAATGGAAGGAAGGGGGTCGGGATGGAGCAACATGGGAAGACGTCGTGACCATACGTGATCAATTTCCAGAATTCAACCTTGAGGACAAGGTTGAACATGGAGCGGTGAGTATTGATAAACCCTGATCAGATTACAGAAGGAGGGAAAAAGTGTAATAACATAATTGTCTTAACAGTTATGAGGGGGTGGGAACATGTTGTACAAATAGCCTCTGTGTAATAGAGGAAGAGGTTGAGAATTGTTGTATAGAACAGGTTCAGAGAACCTTGTTGAAGGGGTTATGCTCCCAGCCTATTCTTTGTATAGACCCAGTTTTGATCAATAATATTGTTCTTTCATTCATCTTTTGGGTTGTTCTGTGTGTTTGTGAGTGAGCTTAGTTAGGTTGAATACTTAGGAACCTAACACATATAGTCTGGTTTCGTATGCTGCATTTGCTACCATGTCACTAGGCTTGTCAAGACTCAGTCACTTTGAATTTGAGGTCGATCTTCTATATTTTTTCAGTGGATTTCTGAGAGTACAACTCATGAAAATAAAATTATGGTTGGTAATTGTGGGAGGGAGTTTCAGTTATTCCCTCATCATTTTGCATTCAGCGTTGGATGCTTCAGCCAGAACTGGGTATGTTGGACTCCATGTCAATGATGACGTAGTCATTGAAATTTTTTCACACTCTCAAGGAACAAGCCGCAATTTTTCACAAGTTGTTTCACCTCAAACTATTCCCATTGTCGGTAATTCCCTCGTCATGCCGCAAGACGTTGTTGTCTCTGAAGGAGATGAGGATTCAGGATTCACTCAAGGCAAAAATGTCAGTAAAAAAAGTATAATGGCACGATTCATGGAATGTATAGAGGTGCTTGAGAAGGAGAATGAGACCCTTATCAGCACAATTTCAAAGCATGTAGATGGATACCTTAAAGCTAATGTGGTCAAGAAGATTCCAACGGTGGAACTCCATGCTGACATCAACTTGGTGGTTGATGCATTGCCTGCTGGAATCATCAACGACCTTCACGAAGCCGTGTCGCTGATAGTGGCTGAAGGGTTTGAGGAGGATTGTTGCAGAGCATACTATACTTGCCGAAGGGAGTTTCTGAAAAAGTGTTTATGGACTTTTTGGTTGCAAACGCAAGAGCTTTGCATGGAGGACATTGATGAGATGGAGAAGATTCAGAGTTGGTTAACAAAGGTTTTGTATGTAGTTGATAGTGTACTCCTTCCCAATGAAAGGACACTCTGTGATCGCGTCTTTAAAGGAGTCTCTTCCGCTGGGGATTATGCTTTCACTGTGGTTTGTAGAGAATTGAATATTTGTTTGATTCGCATTGCCAATCACTTGGCAACTATTCTGGAGTGTGAAAATTTTACATATTATGAGGGTGGTGAGCTTCATCTTAATATATGTGAATTGATGTACAAAATTCGTTCTGTTTGCATACAGGGATAATAAATCTAGGCAAGTATTAGAAGAATACACCATGTTTGATAAGGAGGAAAAGCTTTCACTGTCTGGGAATGTGGCCAGGATAATAGCAACAGCCCTGATAGACAGAATTTTGGAAGTGGAGTCCAAAAATTACCATAATCCTTCTCTAGGATATGTTTTCATCATGAACAATTTGAGTTTCATAGAACTGGAAGCAGAATTCTATGGGTTGGTTCCTATTTTCAGTCATGATTGGCTCCGGAAAATCGAAACAAAATTCCAGCAAAACCTTGAACTTTATATGAGAAGCTCGTGGAATAAGATTGTGGACTTTCTGAAGTTTGATATCTGTGAATCAGAGACAAGTGTTGCGGTTGGGTTACTGAAAGACAGGATAAATTCGTTCAATGAACACTTTGACGATATATGCAATGTTCAGTCTACTTGGTTTGTGTTTGATGAAGAGTTAAGAAAACATATTGTAAAATCCATAGAAAACATGTTGTTGCCAGCATATGGAAATTTCATTGGAAGGTTGCAGAATTTTCTTGGCAAACACAGTTATAATTATATTAAGTATGGAATGTTTGACGTCCTAGATCGAGTCGGCAATCTGTTTGTTGTGACGAAGAATAAGAATCTGTATCTGAAACACAAGTGGAAGAGACCCAAGCGCTTGCGTTGATTTAGAATACAATTTTTTTAATATCGTGTGGAATATTGTTGTTCGAATATATAAGTATTCATTTTGAACATCTGAGTTTAAACTCGTTACATTAAGATGGTTTTAAAGACATAAAATCTATTGAGAAGTCGTCAACGTTTAAAGTTTGTTCAGTGTAACTCTCTTAACAATCCATAATACTGTTAAACTGTGTATAGAATGTGTTAATAAAAGTGTTTTTTTCCGTCCTATATTTCTTATTGTTATTGTTAAGAACTGTTATATAGTAAGATATTTATTAGATAAAATATCTTAGATATTTTAACGGTTAAGATATTCATGAGTAACTAACCAAATTTTTAGGTAAGGTTATTTTTATTTGGCTTATAAATACAATGACAGGGCAAAAGTTCAAGTACGTTCCCTCTACGTTCTACACACTCTAGATAATAGTCTAGGGTGATATTATAATCACTTTCTTGAGAGCTGAGGCTCCATAACTCACATCTAACTTGAGCGTCGGAGTATCTTCGCATATACCTCCCCCTCCGTTGGCATGCAAGCTGAAAGAGCGCGAACAACAACAATTGAGGAGAAGCGAGCATCCCAGACATTTAGAAGCAACAAAGATACACCAGAAAACATCTACACCGAAACATTTTGGCGCCCACCGTGGGGCCGAGCGTCATCTCATTGATACTGCAAGGAGCCAAGACGAGCGCTCGGTCTCGACATCATTATTTCGGATCAACATCAAGAATCTATNGTGGAGTCCAAAAATTACCATAATCCTTCTCTAGGATATGTTTTCATCATGAACAATTTGAGTTTCATAGAACTGGAAGCAGAATTCTATGGGTTGGTTCCTATTTTCAGTCATGATTGGCTCCGGAAAATCGAAACAAAATTCCAGCAAAACCTTGAACTTTATATGAGAAGCTCGTGGAATAAGATTGTGGACTTTCTGAAGTTTGATATCTGTGAATCAGAGACAAGTGTTGCGGTTGGGTTACTGAAAGACAGGATAAATTCGTTCAATGAACACTTTGACGATATATGCAATGTTCAGTCTACTTGGTTTGTGTTTGATGAAGAGTTAAGAAAACATATTGTAAAATCCATAGAAAACATGTTGTTGCCAGCATATGGAAATTTCATTGGAAGGTTGCAGAATTTTCTTGGCAAACACAGTTATAATTATATTAAGTATGGAATGTTTGACGTCCTAGATCGAGTCGGCAATCTGTTTGTTGTGACGAAGAATAAGAATCTGTATCTGAAACACAAGTGGAAGAGACCCAAGCGCTTGCGTTGATTTAGAATACAATTTTTTTAATATCGTGTGGAATATTGTTGTTCGAATATATAAGTATTCATTTTGAACATCTGAGTTTAAACTCGTTACATTAAGATGGTTTTAAAGACATAAAATCTATTGAGAAGTCGTCAACGTTTAAAGTTTGTTCAGTGTAACTCTCTTAACAATCCATAATACTGTTAAACTGTGTATAGAATGTGTTAATAAAAGTGTTTTTTTCCGTCCTATATTTCTTATTGTTATTGTTAAGAACTGTTATATAGTAAGATATTTATTAGATAAAATATCTTAGATATTTTAACGGTTAAGATATTCATGAGTAACTAACCAAATTTTTAGGTAAGGTTATTTTTATTTGGCTTATAAATACAATGACAGGGCAAAAGTTCAAGTACGTTCCCTCTACGTTCTACACACTCTAGATAATAGTCTAGGGTGATATTATAATCACTTTCTTGAGAGCTGAGGCTCCATAACTCACATCTAACTTGAGCGTCGGAGTATCTTCGCATATACCTCCCCCTCCGTTGGCATGCAAGCTGAAAGAGCGCGAACAACAACAATTGAGGAGAAGCGAGCATCCCAGACATTTAGAAGCAACAAAGATACACCAGAAAACATCTACACCGAAACATTTTGGCGCCCACCGTGGGGCCGAGCGTCATCTCATTGATACTGCAAGGAGCCAAGACGAGCGCTCGGTCTCGACATCATTATTTCGGATCAACATCAAGAATCTATAGCAAGGCAAAAACTACAGCAAAAAAGTCATCATCTCTACATGAAGTTTCATCAACAAGTTCATGATGCTTCTCAGCATTTCAAGTCACCCTGGTACCTCCTCGGTGACCAAAACAGAGCTCATAAGGAAAGTTAGTCTCCAGTTTGAGGAAATACCCTGGATGCCCTTATCAGTCGCATCCCCATTGCCTATGGAGAAGACGGTTGTCACCCAGAGACAAACCCTTTCGGCGCCTCCAAGTCCGCCGCATTGTCCGACCCATCCTCCGCGTCTTCCGCAGCACTCACGGCATCCATGCGCCGTTCGGTCCAGCCTCACGTCACCCTCCAGCATCGTCTAGTACAGTCTTCGTGTCATCCGCCGCGCCCAGGTTTGCATCTTCGCCAATAACCACGGTTTCCGCATTTACAATGGCAACCCCTACGGCAAGCAATTCTGCCGCTGGTGTCGCACTCAACTTCCGTGACAGTGATTCACGAAATCATTTCTCACGCGTCTTGTGCAAACTCGATGTCACCGCCATCCACTGTGAACGCGTCAACTAACACCTCCATCACCTTGGTCTGAACTCTATTTTTAAGGGTTAGATACTGTACCTTCCGATCCGTCCGACACATAGACCGAACGAACCTCCAAGGTCGTCCATCCAGGTCGACCATCAAGAACGAATGTCCAAGCTAGGACTGACCTTTGAATAACAGAAGAACGAGCGGTCTTCCAAGGTCGCCTTCATCCGGTTGGCTAGTAATAATATGCAGGCCCTGTATTAACGAGTACATAACAAGCGATCGTCAGTAAGCGGTCGTCAACCTCCAAGACAGGACGATCCTATCATCGTGAAAGATAATTCCATTGAGGCATTCGTCGGGCACACGTCAATCGCCCTCAATAGCGATCGTAATAACAGCGATCGACAGTCGTCAGTAAGCGGTCGTCAACCTCCAAGACAGGACGATCCTGTCATCGTGAAAGATAATGCCATGGAGGCATTCGTCGGGCACACGTCAATCGCCTCAATAGCGATCATCCTAACAGCGATCGACAGAGTCCAAGACAAAATGATCCTGTCATCCTCTAAAGATCGCCCATACAGGTCGACCATCAAGAACGTGCGGCGCTCCATCGTGACCGATCGGCAGAACCGAGTGGCTGCCCACCCAGGATTGACATCCTTGGCCGGTCACCCTTCTGACCGGCCGTCACGACCGTCCCTCACTAAGTCCACTACACGGTTAAATACTAATGACTCATTAAAGCCCTTAATGAAGAGCGAAAGGTACACGACCCCCTGACTTGGAGAGCGAAGAGAGAGAGGATGAATACTACAACCAGGACTTGACGACGAGAGAGCCCGTTCGGCCCTTCCCAGCGCTTCAGCCCTCAGCCAAGAGGTAATCGTCCGGTTTTCACCAGCTTCTAATGCCCCCTAGAGACGAAGCCGCTCGGTCTGCTTCAGCTCGTGAGAAAGCGTTCGTCTGCCACCAAGTGACCGATCCGTAGCATGCGATATCATTCGTTCGTCGGTCTTTACCATTTGTAAGTGTTTTAACAGGGTCCCACCAGATCCGGTCGAAATTGATACCCATGCCTTCATTAATTAACCCAATCGGGCACACCAATGGCAAGGCGGGAGCCACCCAAAAAATTAAATCTAGGGGATCATCCTTTAGTCTAGGTTACGTTCACCCAAGAACACCTAGCGCACGCTAGTATAAAGGCAATCTACCTATTATGGAACCTGGTGGGTGTTCGTCAACTCACCCTCCATTCGTTCGGCCTTCGCGGCCTCAAGCGTTCCAGCATTTGGCTGTTCGGCCTCGCAGGTTTTCGGTCCTTCGACCTCAACCACCAGGCCATTCATGGCCTCAAATTTTCAAACATTCGGTCGTTCGGCCTCAAAGGTATCCGCACTTTGTCTTCAACCGCTCGACCATCCATGGCCACGAGCGCTCCAGCATTCGGTCATTCGACCCCACTGATGTTCGGCCATTCGGCTTCACTGACGTTCGGCCGCTCGGCCTCAATCGTTCGGCCTCAATCGTTCGGCTTTCCGTGGCCTCAAGCGTCCAGCATTCGGCCTCACTGACATTCGACCACTCGGCCTCTACCGCTCGGCCATCCGTGGCCTCAAGCGTTCCAGTATTCGGCCTCACTGATGTTCGGCCACACAACCTCTAGCGCTCGGCCATACATGGCCTCACGTATTCAAACATTCAATCGTTAATCGTTCGGCCTTCACGGCCTCAAGCGTTCCAGCTTTTGGCCGTTCGGCCTCGCATCTTTTTGGTCCTTCGACCTCAACCGCTCGGTCATCCTTGGCCTCAAGTGTTCAAGCATTCGACCGTTCAGCTTCGCAGGTTTTTGGTCCTTCAACCTCAACCGCTCGGTCATCCATGGCCTCAAGTGTTCCAGCATTCGGTCATTCGGCCCCACTGATGTTCGGCCATTCGACCTCACTGACGATCGGCCGCTCGACTTAAATCTCGATCGAACGGTCTAACCTATATGTTTGATATTATGTATCTTACAGGTCACAAGAGACAATCAACCGAAGACCGAGCGATCTTAATCTATCAACCGATCGGCCTTATATCATAATCTATTTTTTATATTAATTTTCTAAATCTTGTAAATGCATTGATTTGTTTGGCTACTCTTTTTCTCGTTCTACAGTGCAGATAAGCACATCTTGCATACAAAAGCGAACACTAGAGAGTCGTCCATGCTGAAGCACTCAAAACCAGGAAAACACTCCGAGACCTGGTAGATGTTTGCCCTAGAACACCCAGGTGCATTGAATAAAGGGATACACTCCCTCTGGTAGATGTTCGCCCTAGAACACCCAGAACATCAAACCTAGGGGACCATCCCCTAGCCTACCTTATGTTCGCCCAAGAACATCAAATTTTAAAGCATTCGGTCGTTCGGCCTCAAAGGTATTCGCCCTTTGGCTTCAACCGCTCGACCATCCATGGCCACGAGCGCTCTAGTGTTCGGACATTCGGCCTCAACCGTTCGGTCATTCGGTCTCACTGACGTTCGGCCGCTTGGCCTCAACCCTTAGGCCTTAATCGTTTGGCTTTCCGTGGCCTCAAGCGTACAGAATTCGGCCTCACTGACACTCGGCCACCCGGCATCTGCCGTCCGTGGCCTCAAGCGTTTCAGCATTCAGCCTCACTGACGTTCGGCCATACAGCCTCTACCGCTCGGCCATACATGTCCTCACGTGTTCAAACACTCAATCGTTCAGCCGTTCGCGGCCTTAAGCGTTTCAGCTTTTTGTCGTTCGGCTTCGCATCTTTTTGGTCCTTCGAACTCAACCGCTCGGTCATCCTTGTTTAAAACGTTCAACTGCTCGGTCTAGGGCAAAAAGAAAACCCATAAAACCCGCCGTTCAGTCCATAGATGAGCAACGACCGGAAACACGCTCCCTAACACAGCGAATACAGCCTCCCTCAAACTCATAAGTCCTATAGTTACCACGTCCATAAAACAGAACGGTTAACTCGGACTTGGGGGCATGTTATATAGTAAGATATTTATTAGATAAAATATCTTAGATATTTTAAGCGGTTAAGATATTCATGAGTAACTAACCAAATTTTTAGGTAAGGTTATTTTTATTTGGCTTATAAATACAATGACTGGGCAAAAGTTCAGGTACGTTCCCTCTACGTTCTACAGACTCTGGATAATAGTCTAGGGTGATATTATAATCACTTTCTTGAGAGCTGAGGCTCCATAACTCACATCTGACTTGAGCGTCGGAGTATCTTTGCAGGTACCTCCCCCTCCATTTGCATGCAAGCTGAAAGAGCGTGAACGACAACAATTGAGGAGAAGCGAGCATCCCAGACATTTAAAAGCAACAAAGATACACCGGAAAACATCTACACCGAAACAAGAACCTATATATAATTAAAAATCATGTTTCATGATTATCTCGAGTGAACAATTGTATCTCCAAATCATGCCAACACTACCACTGTATGTTTAAGCTTAAAACTACATAATTATTTTACTTCTCTGTTTTAAATTTGCACAGCTTAAAGCTTAGATTTACATTTAAGTTATATTCTTCGGTTTTAATTTATATGTTTTAGATTTGCACAGCCTAAATTATTTGACACGTTTGAACGCAATAATAAAATGAACTCTTCTGACAGGTGAGTATTGATATATCGAATTAAGGGGATTTATGTTTGATGCATTTTCAGGATTTTATTATTTTTCTGATCGCATGAGGGGATTGTTAAAACTAGCATTGATTGCAAAAGAAAAATCCAGTTTTAAGTCAACACGTAGAAGATTGATGGAGCTTTCCCACTTACTTCCTTTGAAATTTCTACAATAAAAAATAAAATAAAGGGATTAAACCCCCATCCAAAAAAAATAAAGCAAACCTTGCTTGAGAAACATCACAGTGTTCATGCTCATCAAAATTTGGAGGTGGCTACATCAGCCAAAGGTATGGAGATTTGTGTGTTTTGCTTCATCTATCGTTGGCCTTATCTGTTATGCTTTGAGCTCCTCTTTCAATCATTTACTTGGAAATTGGACCTGGTGGAAGTTACTTCTTTACATTATTTTCAGTTTTTTAATTTCCCTTTCCACCTTGTTTGGAAAGACATGGGAATACTCCAACTCTCGCTGTTTGGAAGCTCACACAGCATTTTCTGTTTTGCTTATCACTTCTGTATACTCCTTTTTCCTTGATAAAGATCTGAAACAGAAAGCAGATGCCTATAGTCTGCTTTCTTGTGTTGCTTTTGCTATCATGTCTCTAGGCTTGTCTAGGCTGAGTCAGTTAGGATTTGAGGTTGATCTCCTGTATTTTTTCTGTGGACTTCTGACCGTACAACTCATGAAAATAAAACCGTGGTTAGTCACTGTTGGAGGAGCTTTCAGTTATTCCCTCATCATTCTTCGTTCCAATTTGGATCCTCAACCAAGAAGTGGGTATCATGGACTTCAATACCAAGATCATGTAGTGGTTGAAATTGGTTCTCATTCACAACCACAAGGAATCAGTAATAGTGTTACTCAAGTGGATTCAACCCGAACCATTATGGCTAGTTCACAACCTCATCCTGTCATTGATATGGTCTGGCCTTCAAGAGGAACAAGGCGTAGTGCTTCTCTAGTAATTTCACCTCAAGAGGGTGGTTCTGGTGGTGGCCCTCCCGAAAACATTTATGGTACCGAGGAATGCTTCATGGGTTGTATAGAGGCTCTTAAGAAGGAGAATGGGAACGTTATCAGAGCAATTTCCATGCATGTAGACAAATACCTTAAAGCTAGTGTTCTTTATGAGGAGGAGATTTCAGTGGCAGAATTGCATGGCGACGACAACATGGTGGTGGATTCATTGTCGTCAGGAATGATCATCAAGCTTCGTGAAAGTGTAGAGAAGATGGTGTCAGATCGATTTGAGGAGGAATGCTTGCACGTTTACAGTAATTGTCGGAGGGAGTTTCTGAAAGAGAGCCTCTGGGCATTAGGGTTGCAGGATCAAGAGCTCAACGGGGAGGACATTAACAAGTCGGAGAAGAATGAGAGGCTGATAAAAGCTATGAATATAGCGGCGAGGATACTCTTTCCCAATGAAAAAAGACTCTTCAATCGTGTCTTTAGCCGCTCCATTCCCAATGGGGAGTTTAATTTCAGGGAACTTTGCACGGAATTGGCTACTAGTCTGCTGAACTCTGCCCTTGCCTTGGCAACTTGGAGCCATTTCATGCGCAACACATTGCAGGAGTTGATACAAGAGTTTGAATCATTTACAACACTCTTAAATATTGTAGTGCTCCTGATAAGGCAGAGATTGTGCATTTATGAAGCTTCGGAAAATGTATCACTCATTCCTGGTGGCGGGATTCATCCTATTACCCTTGAAGGGATGTACTATACTTATTCGGTTTACAGAAATAGGGAAATTAGGAAACTTAGCCAAGATTTAAAGGAGGGAAAGATTCCAGCATCTGTGTACATAGACAAAGTGAGAATTCTGTTAAAGAGTAGTTTGGACGATAAGTCAAAAAATGGTAATAAGCTTGAAGTGATGTACTACATTAAATCTCTACACCAAAGTAGGGAGAATAAACTTAGACTAGGTTTAGATGAAATGATTTCACCTGTGTGTAATTACAAGATGATAGAGCTTGTAGAGAGCAGTTTAGAAGCCAACTCCAAAAATTACAAAAACCCTTCTTTGCGTTATGTTTTCATCATGAACAACCGGCGATTCATTGAAGTAGAGACAAAACTGAATGGACTGGGACTTTCTTTTGGAGATGACTGGCTCCACAAAAACACAAGAAAGATCCAAGAAAACCTTGAGCTCTATCTAAGAAGCTCATGGAATAAGATTGTGGACCTTTTGAGGGTAGACATCAATCAACCAGAGTCTAGTGTTGTAGCCGAGTTGATGAAAGACAACCTTTATTGGTTCAACGAACACTTTGATGAGACATGCAACATTCAGTCTGCATGGTCTGTCTGTGATGAGGAGCTAAGGGAACAAGTAATAAAATCCATAGAAAACATGCTGTTGCCAGCTTATGGAAGTTTCCTTGGCACATTTGAGCAACTTGTTGGGAAGCATGCTTATAAGTACATTAGGTATGGAATGTTTGAGGTTCAAGATCGACTCAACAAATTGTTTCTTTTAAGGGAGTAGATGAATCTGTTGCTGGAAGAGAAGGAATGATTAAGCGAGTTAGATTTAGAGAACAATAACTTAATTATCTCAGTTCCAAAGGATTTGTGCTCTGTATACCACTGATGTTTCAAAACAATCATAAATATGTTTCCTTTTTTATTTTGTTTCCACATTTTAGATTGGCTTGGTTCAAATTGAAGTTTGGATACATTTTCATAATTCTATGCCTGAAGAGAGGGAAATAATTCCTAAGTTTTGGAAGATTTAGTATACAGACTTAACCTATCTATGGATACTTTCTGTATTTATGTCAACTGTCATTAGTCTGCTCTGTTATGCAATGAGCTTCTTTTTCAAATACTTACCTTCATTATTACAAGTATTTTGGTACACATGAAAGTTAGGCAGACTTTTAGAAGTTTGACATCCATAAATGTCTATGGTTTATCAAACTCTCAGGAAGCATTCCTCTCACTTTGGGTAACCATGTTACTCCAATCACCGTGGAGACAAAAGAAATGAAGTATCACAATATTACAAGGACATTCCGATCCTCTTTAAAAACCAATGACAGTTTAAAATTTATTTTGAAAAAAGAAAAAAAAATGGCATGTCTGCACCCCATAATTGAGAAAATCACAGTTAGCATGCTTGATCATGTATCAATTTTCATCATTTCATGCATTATTATTTCCTTTTCTTAGGATTTGAAAAGATCCATCACCATTTCCCTTTGAGAAGGAAATCTATCCTTTCTCTATGGAAATTAAACTCAAACTCTTGATTCAAAGATAACCTGTCTTGTTTAAAAGAGAAAATTAGATGGAATATTAATGAAGTTGATTCAGCTGCATTTAATCAAAATTTAAATGATTCAACCCTTTCTAAAAAAGTTTCTCTAATTTAAATAAGAAACAAAATATAACAACTAAATAGTTTGTACAAGTTGAATTACTATAATCCTGTTAAATTTAAAATTTAAAAGATTTGAAACCAAATTTAATTACTATTAAATAGGTATTTTGTTTATGCTGTGTTTCCATGGACTAGTGATAAATCCTTTCTCACACACCAAATGCTGACAAAAGCGCAACACCGGAGATTGATGACATAAATAAATAATCACAATAAAAGAAAGTATATTTTCAATAAAATACATAAAACCATAATTGATGGTAGAATATAATCTATTATGACTTACTCTTCAAACAAACTATATAATTTCTCTATTTGTGAACAATAAAAAAAAAAGTAAATTGGTAATACTTCTAAAATATTCTGCATTTCCCCTCTTTTCATCTCAATTAGAGGCAAATCTTATAAATGAAAATGAGTAGAGGTTTCTTTACGGATCAATTAAATTTGAAAATTATGTATATGAATGTATTTTTGAAAAACTTACGTCCAGATTAAATCATGCTTATTGATTACGATTCCATTCATCATATTGTAACACGACGACTTTTGACATGTAAAAATGCACTTGAACAACCATATAACGATTTCAATGAAATTTTAGATGAAAAATCTAATAAAATTAAATTCGTGAAAAAATAATTCGATTTCTTCTAAACATGATAAAAGTAAACTCAAATCGTTATATAGAGTATGAGATTGTCCAAATACTGAAGAAAATTCAACACTTCTTCACTCACTCTCTTTAAAGGCATAAAAAAATAATTGTTTTAGAAACACTTTGTCATACATAGGAAACTAGCGTGAAAAATAAAAGCACGAAAGAAAGTTGAAACTTTCGCTGGGTAAAGAATAATTATTTGAAAATTTAAATTAAAGACAAATCGAATTTTAAATTTTTAAAATAATATTATGAAGACTAATAAAAATATTATATTTCAGAATAAAAATAAATTAAAATAAATCTTCAACATTTCAATAATTTATTTTGGTTTTTTTATTATGTTTTAATATAAAATATATCTGAACAAAATATTGAATTAAATTAAATTAAATTTTATTAATTATTTGTGTTTTTATTTTAATTAGTCATTTTGTCAAAATATAATAAAATATATTCAATCACTATTTACATCTATGTATTTTAATTATTTATTATGTTAGAATAAAAAATAAGGTTATTATATTTCATTTAATCCATTTACTTTCTTATTTAACTGATTATATGATTCTATTTAAAAACAAAAATTAACAAAATATATATAATTGGCGGGCTTTTTTTCATAAATTATGAGAAAAGTCATATCCTCCATTCTATTCAATTATCAAATCAAAATTCCAACTTTTTTTCATGCCTTTTGTCCACACACCTTTTCTCAATATCCAAAAAAATGTTTTTAAACAATACAATTTTTTATTTTTGCTTTTAAACAGAATGAATAAAGAAGTTGAATTTGAAGAAATTCTTTCATCCTAATGACTATTTCAGTTCAACTATAATTATATTAAAGTTGTTATTCACATCCACAACTCTAATGTTTTTAATTTAAAAAAAAAAAAATCACATCATTTTTCCATAATTTCAACATCTTTAATTAAAGTCATGTATTGCTTACATGAGTTTAATTATGTAAATCTAATTAATTAAAATAAAGTTGTCTTTAACCTACACAATTTCAACATTTTCACATAAATCGTCATGTGATTGCAATTTTTCACAGCAAAGTTTAATATTGTAAACACAACTTAAGTTTGTTTGTAATCTTTATTTTAAAGAAACCTAATTTTCAAATATAAAGAACGACCAATAGAGGCCGTACTCTCCCGTCTACTTACATGAAAACTAACATCACGTTACTTTTAATTTCATAGTTCATTTTTGGGCATCTGCAAAAGTCAAATCGTGCCTTGTTTAGCGTGAAAAGAGGGCTCAAACAGTTTGGACCAGGTAAACTAAACTAAACAAGGAATATGTTAAGTTTTTCTAATATGTAGAGTAAGATATTTGATTAATTTAATTCAAACCCTAAGAAATTCTTAAGTAATCCTTAGCAGTAAGATATTGGTATGTTTTTCAGTCACAATAGAAAAAAAAATACGCCTAGAGTGAACTACAAGTCACCAAGATTTAAACAACGAATAAAGATTATTATTACCTTTTCGGAATACACCTCATTAGCAATATATTTTTTCACGTATCTAAGATTATCACTCAAAATTTAAAGTCAGGGATTATTTTAATACCTTATTAAATCGTTTCCATATTATTCTCATCTTGCTGGTCAAACGTACTGTTATTGATTTTCATTTTGGAAACACCCTAGGCATTTCGCACTGAAAACGACTGAACGACTCTGAAAAGTGTGGTGGATAGATTAAAACATACTAAAAAACGACAACATATCATTCAAAAAGATTCTGGATCAGCTGCTTCCGAAGAAGATAAATAATTAAAACAAAAATACTAGGAAAAGAGGTTCCTAATATTTCTGTTTTCGCAATTAAAAGTGAAGTCAAAGGTCAAAAGACTGGAAAATGGAACAAGGAAGTTTTGAACGAGGAAATAGAAAGATAAAAAGAAGCAATAGAAAAAGCAGAGTTACCTGCAAGAACTATCAATCAAAGAAAGAAACCGGTAGCCACGTTCGCTCTCTACTTTATCTTCTTCTCTGCTCTCTGCTAACTATCCGCGTTGTTTCCATTTTCCACTTTTGTCCCCACTTATTCAACAAACCGCGTCTCACAAGGGGGTATAAAGGTCATTTGAGAATTCTCTGATCCTCTTCTTGGTTCTTGTTCCCTTGGCAGTGCAAGTGATGAACTAAGTAGGTTTCAACATGTCCGAAAACGGAGAAGAGAAGTTACTTGCTGTGGCGCGGCACATAGCGAAGACGCTGGGCCACAACAACACCATGTCTGATGACATTTTCCAAATATTGTCCAACTTCGATGGAAGGTTCTCGAGAGAGAATCTTTCGGAAAAGGGCGCAGATGCGGATTCTAGAGCCTGCGCCGCACTCGATCATTCCCTCAAATCCCTAGACCACCGGATCTCTCACCACGTCTCCTCCGACCGTCCAATCTGGGCCAACGCCGCCCACGCCGCTGCCTTCCTTGACGCCGTGGACGAGCTCGTCGCTGTCGTTGCCGAGTGGAACCACCTCGCCTCCGACAAGGCCGTCGCCGCGTGCCTCGTACGGGCCGAGGACATGCTCCAGCACGCCATGTTCCGCCTGGAGGAGGAGTTCCGCACGCTCATGGAGCGCGGCGGTGAGTCGTTTGGCCTCACTAGGAGCTACCGCAACGGTGAATCGACTGAAAACATGCCGTTCGAGTCGGAGGAAGAGGACGAGGAGGAAGACGAAGTGAGAAACGGGGGAGATGAGGAGCAGATTCCGGTGGCGCTGCCGGTCACGGACTTCGACATCGTCATCGACGCGCTGCCAGCGGGGACGATCAACGACCTCCACGAGATCGCGAAGCGAATGGTGGCCGGGGGGTTCGGTAAGGAGTGCTCGCACGTGTACAGCAGTTGCCGGAGGGAGTTCCTGGAGGAGAGCGTGTCGAGGTTAGGGTTACAGAAGCTCAGCATCGAGGACGTCCACAAGATGACGTGGCAGGAACTTGAAGATGAAATTGAGAAATGGATTAAAGCCTCCAACGTCGCTCTCAAGATCCTCTTCCCAAGCGAGCGGCGTCTCTGTGACCGCGTCTTCTTCGGATTCGCCTCCGCCGCGGATTTTTCATTCATGGAGGTTTGTCGCGGATCCGCGATTCAGTTGCTGAATTTCGCTGACGCCGTCGCGATAGGGAGCCGGTCTCCGGAACGGCTGTTCAGAATCCTTGACGTGTTCGAGACGCTTCGTGACCTAATTCCCGAATTTGAAGCCCTGTTTTCTGATCAATTCAGCGTCTCGCTCAGGAACGAAGTGATTACGATTTGGAAAAGGCTGGGGGAATCAATTAGGGGCATTTTTATGGAGCTGGAGAATTTAATTCGCCGAGATCCGGCGAAGACGGCGGTTCCCGGTGGCGGTCTGCACCCGATAACTCGCTACGTGATGAACTACCTCCGTGCGGCGTGCCGGTCGCGGCAGAGCTTGGAGCAGGTTTTTGAGGACTACGGGTTGAAAGAGTACCCGAAGCTTGATGACAGAGTCCACTCTTCATCTTCTCTATCAGTGCAAATGGATTGGATTATGGAGCTGTTAGAGAGCAATCTGGAAGCGAAGTCGAAGATTTACAAGGACCCTGCTTTGAGCTATGTTTTCTTGATGAATAATGGGAGGTATATTGTTCAAAAGGCCAAAGATAGTGAACTAGGAACCCTCTTGGGAGATGATTGGATCAGAAAACATGCTGCAAAAGTTCGACAATTCCATGTGCACTATCAAAGAAGCTCGTGGAGTAGGGTATTGGGAAGTCTGAAGCTGGATAGTACTGTCTCACTGCCCCCTAATGCCTTAGCAAAGTCAATGAAGGAGAAGCTCAAGTGGTTTAACACAGTGTTTGATGATATTTGCAAGGAACAATCTTCCTGGTTTGTTTTTGATGAACAGCTCAGGGAAGAAATAAGAATTTCTCTTGAGAAAATCTTGTTGCCTGCTTATGGAAACTTTGTAGCGAGGTTTGAGAATGTTCCAGAAATCGGTAAGCATGCTGATAAGTATATCAAGTATGGAACAGAGGATATCCAAGCCAAACTCAACGAATTGTTTCAGGGATCAAGTGGTAACCGAAAGTGAAGGTGAAGCTGCTTCGAGTTGTTCGTGTGTATTTGTAGTGTAATTAAAATACAATGTTTTGATTATCACAAATAGTCTTGTACTAAAAATACTACTTATGTTATTCTGCTTAGCATCAATGTGGAAGAAGAGCATTTGAAACGATTCTGTGGTACCATTTTAGGTGGTTCTTATTTTTCATATAAACTCTTTTGAGCTGTGCTAAGAATAGTATGTATTTACCGAATTAAGCAATTGTTTATATGTTTAATCTTTTATGTACGTTTACATCTTCTGGTTTTCTTGGGGCAAACATGCCGGCTCTCATCCAATGGTCCAAAAAGTTTAATGATTTTTAAAGGTTTAAACTCTTCCTTGGTCCTAATTTTTGTATGAAAATCTTAGTTGGGTCGTCATTTTTTCAACTGTCTCAATTGGATCATATTTTTTTTTGTAAAAATGAACACATTTTACCCTAATCGTTAAGCGTTCTCTAACGGCGTTAAATATAACTGACGTGTTTATGCTGATATATATTGTTTGATTACGTAAAAATTTTATTTAAATTAAAGAATCATGATATGGCTTATCAAAATTGAAAGTGTCAAAGAAGCTTCTAAAGCCCTTCACACCCAGCAATTGACACGCTCCTCGACCTCGAAGCCAAGTCTCACGCCGTCTTCTCCTCTGACCCTAACCTCTGCAACCTCTCTCGCATCCTTTCCTCCTTCCCATCCTTAATCGATAAACTCCACAAACATAACGGCTACTTCCCACGACCCCTCCTCCAACACTTACCAAAAATATTGTTGTTCCAATGACCTGGTATTATATCCCAAAAACATTTCCCTTGTTGGTGGTGTTGGACCCTCTCCTTTCACCCAGGCTTTTCAGACAGTTTTGTTGGGAGAAAAATGCAGGGACGAATGATGAATAAATGAATGAATGGAGGAAGATGATGCTCTTCTGTTTTTGATTTCTTGGTGGATCGAATTGGTTCTCCAGTATATGAAACCCAAACCAATTAGCATTAATGATAAATCCAATTCGGGAAACTTTAACGTTTATGATAAAATTGGAAATTAAAATCCCAATTATGTTTCTGGAATTTAATCCTCCAGAAAATCTCTTTTAAGAACCCTAATTAAAATCTGAAATCTAAATTGGGAAAATTCTCAATTTGAAACCCTAATGCTCCTGAACCTTAAGGAAAATCCAATTTTCTGGTTTCTTCTTCTTCCTGGTTCAGGTCGTGAAGGCACAGGCAATGGTAGTTCGCACATCAGGTCTCGCCATTTTTGGTTTTCGCGTTCTGTTTCTGCTCTTCTTCTCCTTCAGTGCACTACTCAACCATGACTGATTTCATTCTCACACAAATGGCGGCATAGCGGCAACGACCGTTCGGTGCGGCATAGCGGCAGCGATCGTTCGGTGCGGCATAGCGGCAACGATCAACGATGAAGGCGCGACGAGGAGGACTCGCTCAATGGTTTTTATCTTTTTAATTACCCAATCAATGGTATGCCTGCTAATGACTTGCGCCGGCGAAACTCCGCCAATTAGGTCTATGGGAGAGTGAGTCCAGTGAAGTGGGTGGTGAAGGGAATCTGACCAGATTTGGATGAGCCACGTCAAAAAACTCTTAATTTTAAAATGAAAATTCCACGTAATAAAACACTTCTACATCAGCGTGCATAGGTCAGCAACTGCTAACGCCGTCAGAGAGCACTTAACGGTTAGGGTAAAATGTGTTCATTTTTACAAAATATATGATCCAATTGAGACAGTTGAAAAAATGATGACCCAATTGAGATTTCCATACAAAAGTTAGGACCAAGGAAGGGTTTGAGCAATTTTTTAAATCATTTATTACAAATAGTCGTATGGTTCATTTATATAAACTCAGAATCTGTTTCTACTCTGTGTTAAGCGGATAATGGATTCTTCCAACTAACAAAAGGTGGGGTGTTGATAGAATTTGACTGGAACAATTCTTAACCGATATTGAACGTTGGAAAATTAGATATATTTATAGCGTTTTGTTTTTTCTATAAAATGATATCAAATAATATTTATAAAATAAGTACTTATTTCAAATAAGTAATAATGAAAATAATAATTTTATTTCAAATAAGTAATAATAAAAATAATAATGTAATACTTTATTGTAAATAATAATAACATTTGGTATAATTAAATTGACAAAATTTGTTACAATTATTGTTAATATGTGATTATTTGTTTTAATAGATGTATTTTAAGTTGTCTCAAGATAATGAGGTTGATTGAATTTTGTTAGCCCATATTTTTTAGTATATATATTGAGTCATATAGGTACATAAGTTTTCAGTCTTAAAAGTTTGATTAATATATGAGTTGTTGTGGTTGTGATTTATCTCTTGGTCAAGTTGGGTCAACTTATGAAGTTTGCAGGTGGATTGGTCTTTTGGCCAGGTTATAAAAATGTTGTGGACTTAGGTTGATTTTGTCTTTATGTTTCTGACTTAGGCAAGCTTAGTATTGTCGGCTTGGGTCTGTGTTATGGATGTTGAAACAAGTCCCAGACTCTCTTCAATTTCTCCACCGATGTTTGATGGCAAGAACTATCAAGTTTGGGCAGTTCATATGAAGGTATACACATAGAAGTTGTGGATATTTGGGAAGCAATTGAAAAGGATTATGAAATTCCTAATCTCCCAAACAATCCTACCATGGTGCAAATCAAATTACACAAGGAAAAGAAGACCAAGAAATCTAAGGCAAAAGCCTGCTTGTTTTTTGTAGTCTCATATACTATCTTCACTTGAATTATGACTATGAAGTCACCATATGAGATATGGAATTATCTTAAGTCAGAGTATGAGAGAAATGCAAGAATTAAAGGAATATATGTGCTAAACTTCATTCGAGAATTCGAGCTGCAAAAGATGAAGGAAACAAAATCAATTAAAGAGTATTCTAATAGATTATTGGACATTGCAAACCAAATCAAGTTACTTTGTGTTTACAAACTCAAGAATTATTGAAAAAATTCTTGTAACAATGCTTGAAAATTTTGAGGCATCTATTTCAGTCTTGAAAAATACCAAGGATTTTACTCAAATTACTTTTGCAGAGCTTCTCAATACTTTATAGGCATAGGAGCAAACAAGAGTCATAAGACAAGAAGGTGCCATTGAAGGAGCCTTACAAGCCAAACATCATGAGAATGCAAGGAACAAGAAGAAGAAGTTTTTTAAGAAGAATTAAAATCCTATTGGAGAATCTTCACCCAACAATAAAACAGGAGTTATGAAGGGATCCTACCCTCCATGTCAACATTGCAATAAAAAGGGTTATTCTCCTTTCAACTACTGGAGAAGACCAAAAGCTAAGTGTACCAGATGTAACTAAATAGGGCATGATGTTGTAATTTGTAGGAACAAGAATCAACAACAAGGTGTAGAGGCTAAGATTGTTGATCAAGAAGAGGAGGATCAACTGTTTGTGGCTATATGCTTCGTGAGCAGTGAATCAAATGAAAGTTGGCTTATTGATAGTGATGCATATATCATACGACTCATGACAAGGAGTTGTTTAAAGACTTGAAGTCAACTAACATATCCAAAGTCAGAATTGGCAATAAGGACTATATCTCTTTCAAAGGAAAAGGAACTATTGCAATCACAAGTTGTACAAGTACAAAAATTATACATGTTCTCTTTATTCCTGACAATGACCAAAATCTGTTAAGTGTGGGTCAACTTATTGAAAAAGACCTTAAATTTATTTTTGAAACTGAATATTGCTTGATTAAGGATGCAACTAATCAAGATATCTATAAAGTAAAAATGAAGGGAAAGAGTTTCTCCCTTAATCCTTAAAAGAAGCAATCTATTTTTTCTCTCAAAGAAGATGTCACTCAACTTTGACAAAAGAAAGTATGACATTATCATCATCAAGGTTTGTTAAAACTAAGAGAAAAGGGGTTGGCACTTGATGTTCCCAAGCTTAGTGATACAATCTCAAGTTGCAAAGCGTGTCAATTTGGAAAGCAAAAAATAAATCCATTCCTGAAGTTAACATGGAGAGTCACGCACAAATTGCAGCTCATCCACATGGATGTTTCAGACCTTCACAAAACACCTTCCTTTAAAGGTAATCTTTATTTTATTCCTTTATTGATGACTTCACTAGAATGTGCTGAATATTTTTCTTGAAGTTTAAATCCAAAGTAGCTCAAGTTTTTTGGAAGTTTAAGACAAGAGTTGAGAATGAAAGCAACTGTAAAATTTAGATTGTAAGATCTAATAATGGGAAGGAACTTCAGTAGAATTTGACAAGTTTTGTGAATATTCAAGCATAGAGCATCAACTTACATCCCCTTACACACCTCAACAAAAATGGAGTTAGTGAGAGAAGAAATAGATACATCATGGAGATGTCAAGATGCATGTTTCATGAGAAAAATTTGCCGAAGAAGTTTTGGGCAGAGGTAGCAAATACAACTGTGTTTCTTCAAAATAGGCTTCCAATAAAATCAGTGAAAGGACTGACACCATTTGAGGCATGGTATGGTTATAAACCATATATGAAATTCCTTAAAGTATCTGGTTGTTTGTGTTTCACTCATGTTCCACAAAGTAAGAGTGACAGTCATGATAGAGGAGCTTCACTAGACATCTTTATAGGCTATAGTACTGTCAGCAAAACCTATAAAAATTTCCAGTCACAAACTGGAAATATTATTATAAGTAAGGATGTTCACTTCGTGGAGAATGAAGAGTTGAACATGGATAATTCAGAAAAGAAGGGTCAAACCATGGTAAAGTTGAAACTCAAGTTTTCTAGTTCAAGCATTGAAGAAGAAGAAGACTTGCATAATAAAAAAGTGGATGATACTCCTTTGAGAGGAACAAGGTCGCTCTAAGATATTTAGGAAAGATGCAATATCGTTGTATGTGAACCTACTAATTATGTAGCAGCAAAAAGGGTTCATAGGTGGATAGATGCAATGGAGGAGGAGTTGTCAAATATTAGTGAAAAACAAAACTTGGATCCTAGTGGATAAACTTCAAGACACGAAGGTAATTGGAGTCAAGTGGGTGTTTAGAACTAAACTTAATATTAATGGCTCAATCAACAAACACAAAATTGGGCTGGTGGTTAAAGGGTATGCCCAAATC